CCGATAACGTCCCGATAGGGACAAGCGTAGGTTCTACCTTCGTACAGTCTGTCGGAGTTGCACGTAGTTGCGATCGAGAAAGCGAAGACGTCCGGCAATTCCAGCGAACCGCGAAACTATCAATGGATACGTACGCGACGCGTTTCAAAAACAAAAAAGAAAGAGGCGAAGGGAAAAACTTCGTTAATCGTGAATCGTACTCACACGTCGTCGTCGTCGTCAATTTGCTCCCGTTTTTATCGACCGTTAGCCAACCTCGCGTGTTCTTGCAATCTTCATGGTTGCAAACTCGGCCCCTCGGAAAGCCACAGACAATCGCGAAGCCTCGAGATGCGGGAATTCGACGAATTTCACGTACAGAAAATAGGTTTCCTCGCGTCCGACGAAACGGAGGTCGTCTGTGAACTGACGCGTCTCGACTTCACCTCGCTTGCCAGCGTTCGCGACTCCATCTGTCGCCAAAATATCGAAAGCTACGCCCGAACGGACATTCTATCGGCCTCGTGATTGGCACGCGTTCGCCGTGATGCGCTCCTTGATTGGTTGATGCCTTCTCCATCCATCGTTTCATCGCTTCGATGACTTCAAACAATTCTCGTTTCTTCAACGAAATAACGAACGACGTCCACGCCAATAAGGGACGCGTTGGAAACCGAGTTGCACGATGTCTAAATTCAAGTGCCAAATACGATGTCGTGCGAATTAACTTCATGTAAAAAGCGTTACTTTTATATTGGCTATTTTTGAGACATCTTAATCTTTGCGAATTCGTAATTTTCATAATAATAATGAATAAGTGTGAATTGTACGGCGTAATTTAAGTTTTGTTATTTTATAGTAAATTGTTCGCACCATAACTGAATGCAATTACATATACATATCATTAAATGATTTATGTATACGTCAATTGCAATTAAATAACTAAACGTGATTAGAAAAATTAATTCTGATTAAGAGCAAAGAGGTATACGATAAATTGTCAGAACACGTTCTCTTTGTTGTATTTCAATTTCAATTCAGACAAATTGGCTGATAACGGAAGATGAAGAAAGACATGTGTTGCATGAATAATACTTTTGTAGCATAGACGTGTTTTTTTTCTTTATTATATGATAGAAAAAAAATTCGCAACGTGAACGAGAAAAAAGATCTCGACATGCATAGGCGGTACAACGACCAAAGTTAGTTCGAAGTTGTTGCGCGTTCGGAGATGGCTCGTTCGCAATTCGTCGCAACGAGGTAGACTTCCGGGACCTTACTGCTCGAATGGCCGACGCCAAGGTTGTCCTTCTCCTGTCAAATGAACTTAATTCCGAGTCAATCGAAATCATGTAAACGCTCGCTGATAATTTGGGTGAATCGTTGAAACGCGAGTAGATCGATGCGTGGATCGTGGAGTCGGGGTGTGTCTCCGTGGTTTTAATCAACAATAACGCAAGAAGAGAGACACCGGTGTCTCTTCTCGGATTGTCGGATCCACCAAGAGGGTAATCCTGTTCTTTGCCGGGGGTGCGAATAACTAGAGCGGCCAACTAGAGCCGTTTCGACACCGATTCGGGAACCGAGTCGCAAACGAATTCGCTTGAGAATGCAATTCAGATGATCCGATGATATATTCCGACTTGACAGCCGAAATCGACATTATGAATTCGAGTTAGTGTGCTTTTAGCGATGTCGTGTGACGAACTATTATATGCGCGAAGCTTGCTTTGCTTTTTCAATATCTGTCCGCTGAATACTCTGCTCGCAATTCAAGTGTGAATCGTATTTGATAAATCGAAACGGGGGTTGACGCTCGATTAATTAAGAAATCCCGTTGCACGTGAAAATTCTTGTCACACACTGCGTCTGTTTGTATAGAACTTGTTACTGGGAATGGTATTCCCTAGCTATTGAAAATAAAAGTTGAATCACAATCTAGGAGTACAGTGTGCAAAGCGTATTTCATTTTTATTTTCATGTCGTAAATAAAGTGCAAATATCGTGAATGCAATATCGTGCAGTTAGTTTTGTCTTTAAATTTATGTAGTTGCGTTAAGTAACAGTAATTGTAACATATCTGTGCTTTATTTTTTAGCCCTGCCAATATAACTGTTGAAGGAAAATAATACGTGTATTTATACGTACAATCTTTATACAAAGATGTCAAATTAAATAATATTTAACCTTAAGCGTTATGCATTGTTATGTTACAATAATATTATATACTATGTTGCAGACATAGTTATGGAGGATAGCATGAGTGTTAAATCAATGGAATCAGTGGCAACAAGTGACGAATATGAATTTGTAAATGACAGGGGTAATGGGAAACATCAACAAACATTAATCAGTGAATTACCAATGTTAAAAATTGCGAATAACGGCAATTTTGAAGACCTTCAGAATAATCTTCGCGAGGTTTGTATATACTTGTACTATTTATAAATATCTAACTTTAATCTGTATTATCTTTTTCATTACATATCAATAATTATCTGAGTGCCTGATAAAAACATATAGGTATTGACAGAAGATTCAAAGATGGAAAGTAATGATTACAAAATTGTAAGCAGTACCCAACAAAATCAATCAAAATCTAAAAAAGTTGGACAAAGTAAATTTTATGATGTAACTTCTTGCGTGGTTGCATCTGAGAAACAAGACATTATGAAACCAGAAGATTATATTGATGAAGGTACAAATTATAATTTTGTTAACCATGAAAAATATTTTGCAGAATATAATATCATTTATTGTGTTTCAGAAATAAATTCCTTGGCTCATGTTCAACAAGAATGTACCATTTTCAATGGTGTTACTTATCTGGGATCTGCAGCAATAAATGCACCTAAATCAGAATGTGAAATACAGCGTAATATGAATATATTAAATGCAGAACAATCCCTTAATTTGGGAATTAAAGTATCTGTTTCTGTTCCAAGTAGTTCTCAAGGTTCTGTTGTGTATGTATGATCATTAGAGATTATAGTGATACACATATTGTTTTTTCATCTTACATTATACACCATTATATGTTTATGTGACAGTTTATATGATGCTGCTACTCAACAACCAATTGCACATTATGAAGTACAACGAATTTTGTTCTATGCACGTGGCGAAAGTGTTGGTCCATGTGCAGCGTGTTTTGCTTTTACATGGTCACATGGGGATACATTGGAATCTGCCATTTATCAGTGTCATGTTTTTCGATGTGATATACCAGAAGCAGTATGTCTAATGTTTTTTTTTAAATATGATTATATCAAATTTTAATCAAAGTATGTCAATTGTAAAATTCATCGTAGGTAGGGCAAGTTTCAGCTTGTTTCTCCAAAGCCTTCCATAGAATACCACGATCGATGACTAGCTCTCTAACAGGAAGTGATTTCAATGGTTTCAATATTGGAAGTGAAAAAACCAATTCTCGAGTATTTATTTTCGAAGTAACAATGGAAATAAAAGAAGAAGATGGAAAAGGAGGTTTCAGTATAGTTCCTAAGGATAGAAATTGTTTCAAACTTCGAAGTAATGTAGCTAAACAAGTGTGTTTAAGTATTCAGCAAGTTTCCAGCAAAGAAGGTGGAATTACTCTTGAGGTTGAAAGATGCTTCGGAGTTCTTGTTAGTCCTGGACGCAATGTTAAACACAGTGATATGCGTCTGCTTGAAATGGTAAAATTAACTATTTGAAAATTAAATATTAATAATACGATAATGTTTTCACTTCTTCAGTAATGATAGTATTATTTGTAGCAAGTCAATGCTGGTCCGTTAATTCAGGATAAACAATGTTACAATATATGTGGGCACTGGGATCCTGCAGATCCAGCTTTAGAAACTCTTAATATTGAAACTCCAAGAGAAGGAAAAATTTACATGACAGTTGCTGTTGATTTAGTGATACGTGGTATTCGAGAACCTGTTAGGTTCATAATAGAAACGTTAGTTAAAGTGTTCCCACAAAATGAAAGATTTTGGTACTTTAATAAGCGAAATCTTGTACAACAATTTTATCTTAATTCGAAAGAAGTAAGATATTCACAATTTACAAATTTAATTTATTAACATCCATAAATTTAATATGCATTTATTATTATACAGATAATATCTGGAGACGGCACAGAAGTTCATTATGAAGTACAAAGCATAGAAACTTCAGGAGAACTGGACAGAAACCGATTAAATCTTGCTCTTAATTTAGCATCGCTAATTCGATCTCCTTCTTTAACAAGTATTGATACGCTTACACCCAAGGAAGAAATAGATTCAGGTTAAAATAAGATGTTTAACTATTTCGTTTAATGAAAACAATAGATTACATTAATTATGTTTTTATATTAATAGATGGAGATGAACCAATGTTGAGTGGTACAGGTGAAGTATCAAAAGATTGTTCTGCAGACGAATTAGCTAGTTGGGCAGAAGTGCTAGACAGTTGGCAAGTTAATGAACAACGTCCAAAGCTTCTTATAAAACTTACAAAACAAGGTATTCCTGAAGCTTTACGCGGAGAAGTATGGCAACGTTTAAGTAATTGTGATAATTCACAAGAAATGATGGATAAATATAGGACTTTAATTACTAAAGTAAGTAAAAATAGTGAACTAAAAGTGAAATAAAGTGAAAAAATAGTATATATGATAATTATATTATGTTACATCTATAGGAAAGCAGTTGCGAGAGTGTTATTTTAAGAGATATTAATAGAACATTTCCTGCCCATGACTTTTTCAAAGAAACAGGTGGTTTGGGACAAGATTCTTTGTATAGAATAAGTAAAGCATATGCAGTATATGATGAAGAAGTTGGATATTGCCAGGGACTTAGTTTTTTAGTTGCTAGTTTATTGCTTCACGTAAGTAATTGTCATCCAATGGTTTACATTTGTAAGATTTGTAACATTCGCATTTTTAATAGTAATTTATTAAGGTATGTAATGACAAGAAACACATTAGGTATTTCTTGTAGATGCCGGAGGAACAAGCTTTTTGTGTTTTGGTCAAGTTAATGTATGACTATGGATTAAGAGATTTATATAAAGATAGATTTGACAATCTTCATATGAGATTTTATCAACTTAACAGATTAATAGAGGTTCGTGATATATATTTTAATTAACTATGAACTATTGTAATATTTATTACGAGCAAATAATCTTTTTAGGATCAGCTGCCAGAACTTTATAAACATTTCTGCGATCGTGGTGTGGAAACACATATGTTCGCTGCACAATGGTTTCTGACTCTATTTACAGCCAGATTTCCACTTTATCTTGTTTTCCATATTTTAGATGTATTCCTTTTACAAGGACTTGATACACTATTTCAAGTTGCTCTCGCATTATTAATGGTAAGTAACATTTTTTTTTAATAACATTTTTTATAGGATATATCATTATAAAATATATATTTCCATAGTTGTGCAAAAAGGAACTACTTCAATTAGATTTTGAAAGTATATTAAAATACTTTCGGGTGCATTTGCCTAAACGTTGTCGAAACGAAGAAATATCGCGCTATGTCATGAAGTTAGCCTGTTCAGTTACCTTAAAGAAATTAAAGAAGTATGAAGCGGAATTTATGACATTAAAAGGTAATTTCATATTTTATGTTTGAATCACGTAAATATATGTTTATTAGTACACCTGGAAGTCACAAAATATAATACTCCTTTATGTGCATAGTCTGTATATATATGTAAAAAAATGTTGATTTGTGATTATAAATTTAACTTTGTTATGAAACTTTCGGCTTCATTGTCATATTTTAGAATCAAAATGCAAATATTTTAACATTTAGACATTTATTTTTTTCATTCATTTCAATATAATACGTAATATGAATGAAAATTAAAATAATATATTTCTATTTCATCTAGTCCTAATTTCTAAGGAAATTAATAGTGTTTTATAGACTGTTAAATTAAGAAAGAAATAAATCACTTTATAATAATCATATTATAATGCATTGCTGGTGTTTTCTCAGAAAATAATAATTTCATGTTTATATACAAAAGCATATGTCCATTTACATATAGTTTTGTAAAGAAACTTTAGTGAACAACATAGTGTAATTGCAAAACATATTTGTATTTTCAATATAATTATGTCATTAAAAAATTTATTGCATTAAATAAATAGTGGAATAAAATTCTTTATATCACATAGAAAACTAAAACTTATATAACAATTATTTGATAAAAATTTTGAATTAAATTTTGTTTTATTTTGAACAAATATTTCTTACATTTATAAACAAACTTTTTTTCCCATTCGGTAGTTCATTCAACTTTGTACAATTTGTCATATATATTATCAAACTTTGTGACAAGCTAGCTGCAAGCTATGTACATGTGCTGATAAAATATGAGCTCAGCGATAATTATGCACGAGCATGAGATTTCAACCAGTTGATAAATCACGGTATATATGATTTATGCTAACATCTTTTTTTTATTGTGTATATTTTCTACAAATATTACATTAGTTTTAAAAAGATTCTATCAGTTTCAAAAAA